GTTTTTTGGTTTTTTTTTGGGAGAACATGGTATTGAGGGAGTATGTGGGCGATCTGAAATGTCTTCGGGTTTGCAAGGACAAGGAACAAATTAAGAAGAAGCAAAACAAACAATTTAATGGTGATGGAGCTGTAGCTCCAGCAAGGAGAGGCTGTGGGCGTGCATCCATTTTATCTCACTGCAGAACACGATTCCTCAACACAGAAGGTCATAAAAACCTCGCTGCTTAGTGCTGGCAGATAATTTTACTAAAAGTTTAAAATGTTTTATTAGCAGCAAATATTTAAAGGCCCTCATTTGCAGCAGTCGGGGGACCATGTCAATACATACCTTAGCTTGCAAATAAGCACTAAGTTGTCACCTCAAATAAAAACTGGATGGTAAAACATGCAAAATGAACTGTCAGGGTTGCTAATTATTATGTGTTGTGTAGACATTAATTACTCAATAGCCAATTTGGGTTTTATCACCCACCTTTCTTGTTTGGTGTTTTGTAATTGGCTGGAAGTGATTAGAGAGATTTCTGATCACTTATAATTTTTTCCTTCTGGCACTTCAGTGCCAGGAAGAAAACATTTAATATGTGGCAGTGATAGGAACAAGAAATGAAGGGGAACTAATGGTGCTCTCCCTTGTCTGGGAGGTACAACTGGGTGAGTTCTGCTTGTGCTTTCATGCACAGAATCCCTCAGATGTGACATTGGGCAACATCCTTTGCACCGTGTCCTTCAGCTGAGACAGGCTTTGGCTTTAAAGTGCAGAAATACAGAAAGGTTAGGAGATCCCATCTGTTTTTGTGAAGCTGTGGTGGCTCTTCTCAGAAGAGTCATGGGCTGGGGATGGTTTGGAGAGCTCAGGCAACCTCACCTCCTTGAGGAGGAGGAGTTAAACTGGGTCTTGTACAGCATTAGAAATACTGCATGGGCTCTTGACACTTCATGAAAAATTAAGATTATAAACCTTCAGCTTACGGTGATGGTGACTAAAATGTGGTTGTTACCTTGTACAACCCATCCCCTCCCGCCTCTTGGAAAATAAGATGATGTTTTTACATCTTGGTAGTGGAAAAGAAGCACGAGCAAAAAAACCTGACTGTATGAGAGGAGAATTTTTCCTCTGTGTCATCAAAGCCTGACAAGTTGAGTTACAATAACCTTTGGGAAGTTGATGTGCTGTATGCAAATGAGGACAGGATCTCTTAATCAGCACTTTGGAGAGACAGAGGCATCGCTCGCAGACAATGAGAGCCAATTTAATGTGTTTCATTACTTTGCATTTGCAGTAGAAAGGTGATGAACACATCATCTTCTGCCAGGGCAGCCTGCTGTACTTACTCTGGGCTTTTCCTGGGATGTGGACTTTTCACCTGAATTCCATAGGAAAACATCTTTCCATCAGTCTTTGTGCACAGTCAGTGAGTTTTCCTGAGCCTGCTTTGATGGGGCAGGGAAGCTCATTTTTAAGTAATAAAGGCAATTTTAAGGGTTCTGCAGTTTACCAGTTTGGTTTATGAACCAGCTGGTGAATCCCTGGGGAGATTTCTTTGACGCTCTCTCCAAAGAATTCTGATGTCTGTAGATTTATTCTCAATATGCAGCCATGCAGGTCAATGTTCTTTTCACTCGTGAAGCAAATGACATCCAGCAAGTGGCACCGTAAAGCCTAACACTCCAATATAAATGTGGAATGCTCATCCCCACTTGATGAGACCAAATACCAGCTTGAAATATTCATTTTTCTTTTTTTTTTTTTTTTTTTGTTCCAATATATCACGTGAGATCTCTATTTTGACAGGAATTTAAACCCATCATTCCCTGGGAGAGCTGTGCTGGGGGATTAGGCTGAGTTTTGCTTCCACGAGACGGATGGCACTTACGAAATGCTTTTGGCTGACTCACTAAACAGTGTTTAAATGCTCAGGAAATGCTTCTGAGTCTGGGATTTATATTTCAGCTTCAGAAAATTCTGTCTCTTCCGTCGAGCTCCCACAATCAATCCATTGTTTCACGAACGGCGTCGGAATTCATGAGCAGGAGGCAAGCCAGGGATGCAAGTGCTGCTGAGGGAGGGCTGCAGCTGGGAGATGATGCTGATCCAGGGGGTAGATCTGGGTGGTATCTCAGAGTCAGCATCCTCTGGCTTTGCTTATGAGGAGGCAGCAGAGTTGAGTGGGTGTGGAATGTCCTCCAGGAGCAGGAACAACTTCTTTCCTGCTGAGGGTTGCTGGGACTTCTGGGAAGGAAAATAAGCAAGAGCAGGTTCAGATACACTTGTTATGGACTTACTGACAATCTACAGGAGTGTGGGTCTCTTGTTTCTTTAGCTTGTTAAGTGAAGAATATTGTGTTTGTAAAAAAGGGAAGGTTGGAGGGATATCAAGGTCATACTGGAAACAGAAGCAGGAAAAACTCCTAAACAGCAGATGGGGGGGTTTGAGATAAAGACAAGCCTACAAGCTGAGGGCTTTTGGAGTGCCTGATTTGAGACTGGAAGGAAGCAGAGAGGTGCAAACTCTCATAGTTTCTTATTTAATCTTTTTTAAAAACAGTGAATTTGGAAGACAGGACAAGTCTGTGGTTTGGCAGGCAATAAAAACCAGTGCCAGAGTAGGCTGGTTCCATAAACCTAAACCCAGAATGGAGCCAGGGACGGTAAAAAGATACAGCAACTCATTTGCTGATTATTTTCATGTTTGAAGTGACCAAGGGAGAATTTTGGTTGGGGACTCAGGACCTGGTTCATCAGTAATGTCCTTTTTGTGGACCAGGCTTGATTTCCTCCCACAGAGAGATACCATCACCTTACTCTGCAGTCTTCCCTCCAAGTGCTCTGAGGAAAGATGCATTAGGAATGTCAGGATTTGCATATTATGCTAATAAACTTGCAGGTGGGAAATGCACCTCGGGTTTCAGTGGGATAACTTCTTTCAGCTCAGTCTGCATTAGTTTGTGTCAATATGAACTTGCAGAGTAATGTATGGATTTCTACTGGCAACAGATGAGAGATCAGCACTTCTCCAGGCTCTCCTCAGTGCTCCCTGGTGCCAGCTCCCAAAGAACTGCCTCCACACACACACACACACAAAAGTGGATTTTTTTTTTTGTGCAAATACACAGTGAAACGAAGTGTTGCCTCTCTATTTTTATTTTCTATCCTTAAGTGATATTTTTTTCCTTGAGGAATGTGTGCTATTCCTTTACATGAAAAGAGGATTGCACAAAACTGAGTTTCTTTTTAGGGTTTTTGGAAGTTACAGCTTCAAGAATGACTGCAGTGGTGACTGGGGAGCTGCATTAAAGGCCTGTTGTTGCCTTTTGCTTTGGAGAAAACTTCCTGTCTGTGTTCTGAAGGTTTTTTTTTTCAAAGCCTTCTGTTGACAAGGGATGCAGAAAATACTGAACCTGCTAAACTCAGTTTTTAGTGCTCTGTCTTGTGTGGTGTCACTTAAGGGAGAGAGCACAGTGTGTGTCCCTCAGTACCTGCTCCAGGTTGTTTTTCCCTTGGGATGAAGATGTGTTCCAGAATCCAATGGAAGCTGTGACCAAACCCTGCAGTATAGGAGGGGTTTTTTTTGTTATTTAGTAAAATTCCTTGGGCACTGATGATGTTTGGGGGTAGTGCAATTTAAATGCTTGAGGTTTTCCAGCCTGGAAGTCGGTGTTCAATGCTGCCTGTGAGGATAATGTACAATTATTTTAGTCACCATCTCAAACAAAAAGCCTCAAAAACTGAGTGCAACCATTAACCCAGCACTGCCAGGCCCACACCCAACCATGCCCCTGAGCACCACATCTCCAGGTTTTATGAAGAGCAATGTTCAGCCTCTGGCAGTTCCTATGGGATCAAACACTGTGCTGGAAGCAGCACATTCCGAATTTGCCTGTTCCCTGGTCTAAGCCAATATCTCTGCAAAAAAGCAGAGTGTGCTAAGAAATTGTCCATAAAAGTGTTTCTGTGGTTGGAATCTGCAATTTCTGAGGGAGTTGAGTAGGTCTGTGCTGCTGGCTTGATCTGTTAAGTAGACTGAAGTCATAATGAAGAGGATTTTTTTAACCAGTCACCTGTTAGCCCAAAATTAAGTATCCAAAGTACTCGATGGGCATATGGGAGATGAGATTTCTGCTTGGGTGAATATCCACCCAACAGGAGCAGCTCCATCAGAACAAAGCAATAATGAGCTTAGTAGTAATTGCATTTGCTGGGGCTGTGGGGGAAGAGAAAAATGAAGATTTGATCCAGAGTCTCCCACATAAGTGCCAAAAAAAGCCATTCTAGCTCAGTTATGCACACAAGGCTGACAGGGATTTCAAAAACAAAAACCCAAAGCAAATGCAGCTCTGAAGGTTGGGTGGCAGGTGTTCTGTAAGAAACCTCTTCTGCTTTGGCTCTTGGCCCCATGTGCCCACATAAGTTCAGGGATACTTTAGGGATGGCAAGTGCTGAGAAGATCAGAGTTTTCAGAGTAAAAAACTGCAGGTTTTTTCCCTTTGTTTCCAGCACCAAGGGATGGGTTTGTCGGTGTCTAAAAATACACAGCAATGTTGGTGTTGGAGCATTTCTTGACTTGTGCAAGTTGTTCTCCAAAACTTTCTCTGACTGAAGTGATGAGTTGAACAGTTAGAGTAAATAGAGTAATATTTTGATTGGTACAAAACCTTTCGTTTCTTCTTGATGTCTAATTAGTGTAGCTCGGAATGTCAAATATTTACCCGCTCTACCCAGCGCTGTGCTCACTTCGGTGGGGCTCCATCTGGCTCTGCCTGCCTGGAAGCCTGTTCCTCCATGGAAGAGCTTTCCCAGACTCGGATCTGGTGCTGGATCCCACCTGTTCCCCTCCAGGTCCCTTGATCTGAAAGGGAGCTCTTCCCTCCAGCAAATCCAGGTGGATAAAAATAATCCATGACAGCCTTTCACTGTAAAATAAATCAACTTTAACAAGAATGAGTTTAATGTATTAAAATATCAGTATAATTGACTTTCCTTATGAATTGTACTTTCAGGTATTGGAAATTTGACTGAAGTCTACATATCATGCACTGGAGAAGGTAATGACTCTTTAATACTAATTTTGATGTGTTAATGATGCTAATTGCTCTTTATTCTTGCCATCATTGCATTGAAATATCAGAATCTTCTTTGCATTGTTTGTGCCTTGGACTGAAGAACTGCCCCAGAGTTTCTCAGTGCCCTGACAGTGGATTTCAGTTTCCCTTTTTAAAAGAATATATGTCTGCCTTTAAGTTCCTGGGGTGTTTATGTTGCATTTATGCAGTTTTACTTGGAAAGGTTTATGGAAAACACAGAACAACTTGTCTTCAGCTTAAGTATTTTTGTAAGTGAGCCACTGTTTAAAAGCATGCACATAATTTAAAGAAGGGAACCTGTACAAAAGGATATTGATATCTTGTTATCAATAGTGTTTTGGTGGGTTTTTTTCTGGTTAGGTTCTTATTTTGTCTTTTGAGGAGCTTTTCAGAATTGGTGTTTAATTAATCATTGAATGATTGACCCTGTAGCTGAATTAGCCAAACAAACCTGTGGTGTTTGTGAAACTCAAATTTTCTTAATGGCATCTCAGTTTGAATGTCAAAGGGAACCAGTACTGTTAGTGGAGAGGTGGGTTTTGTACTGTACAACCTGAAATTATCTCAAAGGGCTTTTTCTCAACATGCTTTTAAGTAGGAATTATATAATGTGATTTCCAAAGGAGAACAAAACGTCTTCAGAGCTTACAATTAAGTATTTGAAGAAATAAATGTTGTCTTTCTTCTTAGCTTTAGGTGTTCTTTTTGTATCTGTTCAGAGAAGGTTGCAGGGGGCTTCTGATGAAAATACTTAATTTCTTAATTCAGAAATTTCTGCTTGGTCCTGGGTGGTGTTCCCAATGAAAACTGAAGCTATGGAGATGAAGTAAATATTCTTATTCAGCCTGGGCCCTTTGGAATGTGCAGTGCTCTCTTGGTGTGAGGTTCTCCAAGACAGTATGATAAATCTTGTGATACATCACTTTCTAGTGGTCTGAAAGGAAAAGCTTATTTCTTAATATAAAAGATAACTTTGAATAATGGACTCCTCATCCCTTTGGACAGTACTCCTAAATTAGCCTCAGAGCCCTTTCTCAGGTGCAATCTCATTTTCAGGTTCCCCACGGTAAAAAGGAGATGCTGATCCCCGTTTCATTTGGAAAGTGTTTTCAATCTGCTGATGAAAAGTACTTCTGAAGAGTTAGGCAACCTTGATTAATTGAGCCTGAATAAGAAGTGCAGGATATTATTTTTAGGCTGTGGACCTGTGTTCTGCATTCCAAATCCTTCCAGGTTGCCGGTGTGATGGGAGGTGTGAAGGGCTGGAGCAGGCACTCATATTCACACTGCTAATGGCTTGCAAATGCTGACACTGCCGCGGGCAGGAAGGGGGGGAAATTGCTTTTTTGTTTACAGAGCATTTGGTAAACATTCCTCATTAGTGAGGATGTGAGTGGAATTGGTGGGAAATGCCTGGATTCTGTGCTGGAACCCGTGTGGCACTTTTGGAGCAAAGTGGTGTTTAACAAGAGCCAAGCGCGGAGAAGCGCTCGACGAACATGAACCACTGAAAGCTCGGTGATGAGCTGTGCAGGGTTTAGGTCTGGGACCAGGAGGCAGAACTGGGTTCTTGTGGTGTGTGGGAAGTGGGGAGTGGAATAGGAATGCCTCCCAAGCTGCTGAGACATCCTGAGCTGTGAACTCCTCTGAACTCTGTGTGTCTGAGTCCTGCTCTTTGGCCAGCGGCGACCTCGAGGTCAGCGCTGCGCTTTCAAAGAGCGAAGCACAGCCTGTTTTTTAGGAAAAGAGTGGTCCCACACACTGCTGTGCTTGACACAATTCCACTTATGGGGACTGCAAATTCAGCTTTTGTACCTGTTTCATCTCTTGGAGAGGGCAGGACTTTCTAACCCATGCTCCTCAGCAGCACGTGGTCCTTGCTAAGCCCTAAGCAAGGCTGTGGGGGAGCCAAGTTTGGGGTTTTGCTTCTGCTCTGGTGAATCAGAACTGGCTGTTGTTGGCCAGAGTGGCTCAATAAGTAGATTTGATAGGAAACATTTGTGCATTGTAATGGTATAATTATAAAATTCTACTTTATTACCTGTCAAGCTAATTAAAACAGCAACAGGTTAACAATCCTCCTTAAAGCTTGTGGCATCTGTGCATTGTGTTCAAAACCAGGCTCAGAGTGTCATTTTAATTAGAAACATTACCAGTAGACAATGTACAGTTGTGCTGGAGAAATGTCCTGATGCTGAATGTGCTGGGTAATAGCTGTACAAAAGGAAATGACAGGGAATACAGCCTGAAAAGCAGTTGCTTAAGGCAGGGTTTGAAAGGATTGGGACTGTCTTCAAGGGCATCCAGAGTGAAGAGGCAGCTTTCTCTTTCCTTGCTGTGTGTTTGTGTCTTACAGCTGTTGGCTGCTTGACTCTGGAGAGCTGCCACTCCTTCCTGGTGGGAACACACTCAGCTGGAAGAGCTGTGGGTCAGGGTGTAAGAGGATTACCTGGATGGAGGCTCAGTGCATGCAATCTTTACATCAGTCCTTCAAGGACAAGGGTTGCTTGTGGTCTCCAGGCATCCTTCTGCTTCTCAAGATCCATGACTGTCCCCCTTTCCAGGCTCCTTATTGTCAGATGTGTCTGCCACCCTGTCCTCCTACTCCTTCCCAGCTCTCCTCTGAAGATCTGTTTTGCCCTTTCTTTATTATCTCCCACTCTTCTCCCATCCTGATTCCTTTCTCCTCCCCCTGCACCTTCTGTGCCACTCTGCCAGCCCTTTCCTTAGATGCCTCTTCCTCTCCCATCAGCTGGGTTTCTCATGCCACCAGGACTCCCCTCCACATGAAAAGCCCAGAAATGAAAACTGAATCAATTGTTCTAAAGTAATTTAATAAAATAAGTTAGTACAACTGCCATTTTATGGTGGATTTAGTTGTCTTTTAGAAGTTAAGCAGACTCTGCCCTCTTGGAAGTTGCACCTCAGAGGTAGTCTGATAATTTTACAGAAGAGGGAAATGACAATTGTTTGATACATATAACCTGGGTTGTAATTAATCACTGCAGAGTCCACATTTTGCTTGATTTTGGGGCTAATATTTTGAGTCATATTTAGGATGGAGTCCTCATGACTTGACTTTTCATCATAAGAACACGATGAATACAAAAGGCACCCACCAGATACTTGGACAAAACTCAGGATAAAGTGATGTGAACTCATGGGTGCCTTGTTGCAGCAGCTTTGCAAAACTCTGAGAGTATTTTCTTTCAGAATATTATTTATTATTATTATTATGTGTGAGGGTGTGTTGTCTGTGTTCCCTGAGTGGGTACCTGGGGGCTGGAATGACACCAGGGCATGTCTGGTGAGGCAGCAGTGCCGTTATTTCTGAAACCTGCCACGAGGAATATTTTGGCACGAAGCAAATCTGCCCTTCTGCACTTGTTTGATATTGTAAAAGAGATTATTGTGGCCTTACAAGAAGGTTAAGATGTCGTGAAGTTTAATACACTCTGAAAATAGTCCTGTTAAAGCCTCTGTTGCTGGTGATTGATGAGGCAGGTTATGATGGGAGCTCTAGATCTCGTGTTTGTGTGTGCAAATTGCCATTTCCCAGCCTTTTCAAGGTTGCTGAGTTTATCTCATGGTGCAACCCATATTTAAGGATTTCGTGTAGCATTAGCCTTTGATTAAGGGGAAAGGAACTTTGATGATAAAATGCCCCTAACAGTGGTTCTGTGGACTAGCTTGGAATAACTTATCAGTCATTTTTCATGACTGAGAGCATGTTTGGGACATGAGGGTCACCCTTTGAGGATTAATTTCTGAGATAAACAGCTAATGGCTGTTGGATGATTATGGTCAGAAGCAATTATTATGGCATTTTTCAACTGTTCATCACTACAATAAAGAGTCACCAGGCTAAGTTTTAAACTGCTGTTTAAATAGCTGGGTCAAGATGTGTCAGCCTGGATTCCAAGGTGTTACAGAATGATAGGAGTTGCTGACACTTCTTCACCACCTGCTCTGGCAGAGGTGGGTCCTGACAGTTGCCTTTTTTTTACCTTATTTTTTCCTATTACCTGAACTTTCTACACCCTCTAAGTCAGCAGCTCAGATAACCAGTTGGCAGTTTTATGGAGTCCCCTGTAAATATCAAAGTAAACATGTATTTTCTAGATATAATAAAGAACATTTCACACTTGCCTTTAGTTTTCAGACAGGTGTCAGTGCTTCCTTCTTTTCTCCTGGGCTTCAGGTTCCCTTTCTTCTGTCTCCTTTTTAAACTTCTGTCATCGGCTGAGCTGAAAAATCTAAGGGAACACTGTGAGGACAACTCATGAGCTGCTGGAAGGTGGAGGTAAAAGTGGTAGAGCCTGAAAGCCTAAGAAATGTCTGTTTAATTCTATTTAATAAAAAAGGGAGAGCCCTAAACAACAGAGATATGGGGAGCTGCTGTCACAAGCACTGCTTGAAGGGAGTGAGGAACTGGCTTAGGGAGGGAGTAGTGCATTGAGAAATAAACTGCTGAATCACTGGAAGCAAGGAAGTAACACAGAGTGGAGAGACTCTACAAAAAAAAAAAAGAAAAAAGAAATGTCTGCTGTAATTCAATTAAAATCACAGTAGGATTTGCTGGTGGAGATGGAACATCCGTCATCCCGTATCTCACACTGGCTGGTGCCTCAAGGGCTGCTTAAGTGAGTGGAGAGCTCCTGAAAAATGCTGGAGTGACAGTTCTGCAGCGATGTGAGCCTCCTTTTCCTCACAGACAGATGTGTTTTCCCCAGCACACCGATTGAGTTTGAACTGCTGCTCGGTCTTCAGGCATGTGACACTTTTTTTTTTTTTTTAGTTGATTATCTGAACAAAAAGTTGTAGTTTCTCCTACAAACTGGAAGAGGAAAACCCTATGGGAATGCTGCTTGGGCTGTGGAGCTGCAGGGGTTGGGGGCTGCAAATCATTTGGGGGTTTATGATTTTTTTTTTTTCTTAATGATTTAAAGATGTGCCCACGA